CACACACACACACACACACACACACACACACACACACACATTCTGTCTCTGTCTCTTTCTGTGTCGCTGTCTCTCTTTCTCTCTGTCTCTGTCTCTCTGCCTGTCTCTCTGTGTCTCTGTCTCTGTCTCTGTCTCTCTCTCTCTATAATGGACAAGACCTCAGATTCAGTGAGGTAGGGTGGGGGTACACTTGACCTAACATGTTTTTAGTGGCAAATGCTACCTACCAAGAGGTATAAACATTCATCAACAGATTTCACTAATAAATATGTAAGTAAAAACTGGCAAGATATCTATCTGATGTTTTAGAAAAATAAAAAATTAAGGAGTCACTGGGGTAGATGTCAACAGAAGCTAGTACAATTAAAAATGAGGATTCTGAAACAGAAAGTTATGAGTGAATAAAATTAGACCACTAATTAATAGAACTGTATATAATTCCCCACAGCAAAACTATAAGAGCAATAAAGGGTATCAAGATAAAAACTCACGACTATAAAATGCAGTTAGTCAGCCAATACATTTACATGTTTCCAAAAAAAATCTATCCCAGTGGCTCTCCATATAATATGGGAACTCTACCATTTAAGCATTAATTAAAATCCACCCAGAGCCAAAACTGCCCTGACGCCCCTGGGTAGAGAACACAGGAAACTCTAACAAAACCCTCTTATTATTTTTTTTAAAAACCATTTTGAGTAGAAAGCACACCTGCTGTTCTTGTTTATATTCTACAAAAGTAAAAAACAATCGCTAGCAGAGCCATTTGGATTCTTCCCATAATTCTCTCTCCTCCCGCTTCCCCCAGATTTTGCCAGAAGGGGCTCAGAGGGAAAGCACTTACTTCCTTTCCTCCAGGAGGGCAATTTCTTTCTTGACTTCATGGTACTCCTCTGCGATTTGGCAGTGCTGCTTGAACACCTGCATGGATTCCACGGAGTCATGACAGGGCGGTAGCGGCTTCACAAACAACAGAAAGAACGAATCAGTTTGTGTCCTTGTATCAGAATTCATGACCAATATAGCATTCTTCTTGTGTTCTTTAGGGGAAGATACTGTATTCTGCACAATCACAGCATGGTCACTCAACATGTGTAGAGTCCGGCTGATTCCATTTGACTGAAGATTGAGAGGTGAACTGATCACCCCTACATTCATCTTCTAGTGACATCCACAGGTATCTCAGAATGGAGTCAGAATTCTGAAACCATTACACATCAGTTACCTGTCATTTGTTGGAAGAAAAATGAGTCTGCCATTCTCCTCATAAATTTCACCCTGCCCTGGGGAAGGGCAGTAGTGGGGAAGGATTTTAGCTGCCTGTTTCGATTACCTCTTGCTTTCTAGCCCACTGGCCCAAAGCAAAATCTCATCTTGCAGAATAGAAAGAACCATGTGAGAAAGGCTCTCTTCTGAGACAAGAATCCAACCCCAAGAGATGCTGCCGCATCTCTATGTAGAAACTCACACGAAAGGACAGAACTCTGTCCATAACCGTGAGGCGGAAGGGAGAGCAGGTCCACATTTTTCCTTTTCTCAGAAGACAACATGGCAAAAGTTTTATGTCTAGATTTTAAGAATTCAGTTTAAAAATGGTGATATTTATAGATGGAGAGAAGTTGCATGATTTTTTATGATCCTTTATGTTCTTTTAACAGTTGCACAAAGCACTTTCAATTCAACATGGCAATGCATGGGCGCACTGTGTCTTGAGCACTGTCACCATTCTGCCATTCTTCCCCTGCCCCGTATATCCTGAGTCTGCCATGCTCCCCTCACGTTTCCTAGCTCTGCTTTCATGGATGCACATTGAATATTATGACTGTATTCTCCCCTTGATTCTCTCTTCATTCTATCCTCCTCCCCTCCCTAAAACCTCTTAATAAAAAAAAAAATTCAGCCAAACGGCACGTGTGTTCTCTCCTATGTGAAAGCTAGATCTAAAACATAGTGGGACATGATAAATTATACAAGACTGTAGGCACTCACACACAGTGAGACGGGAGGAAGATACTCTTAGGGGATGAACACAAAAACACAATGCCTCTGTGCCTCTGATCATAGAAAGTAGTATTTATCAAAATGAACTCCAGGACATTGAAACAAGAGGATTTTTTTGTTGATCTTTTTGTTTTCACTTCATCTTGTTTATTTATCTGTCTTTAGGAGGATATTGGGGGGAGGGAGCACAGAAATGGAGGGACAAAGGGTGAACAAATGCAGCAGTGATACTAGATACTATGTTGAAAATGAACTGTACAATTTGTGTATGGGAATTGGGAGAGAGCGAGGGAAGGGGTGACACTGTCCAAAAAGAAATGCACTCTTTCCCTGACTTATATAACTTCTCTGTAGATCACTTGTATAATGACAATAAAAAAATACAAAAAGAATGTTTAAAAGTTTAACAATTAAATTCAGTTTAGAATTTAAGGGAGTTTAGAATTCTAATTTCTACATTAGCAATTGCAACTAAAAATCACTATTATATGAACACTAGTTAATTACCTTTTCCTTTCTTTCCTTTTTTTTTTTTTTAAATAAGGTGTCACTAAATAGCCCAAGCTGGCATAAAACTTGTGATATTTCTGCCTCTGCCTCTGTGTGTTGAGACTACAGCCAGGCACCATCTTACCCAGCAGGGTTAATCATCTTTTAGTTTTTTAATTACTTATGGAAAAATATGTATATTCTGAGAAATATGAATTCAGTCTTAAATAGATTCATTCCACTCCTTCATTAATAGTCTGTGTGCGTAAGCTCTGTATCTCACTAGGTCTTACTGTCACTGATTTTGTTTCAACAAATTGAAAACGAATGAATTTCTTAGTATTTGTAGCTCTTATATTCTTCGAGGACACAGATTTCTGTGGGTGTCATATTTCACAATACCACTCGGGATGTAATAAAAAGTAAGTTTTACTATCTGAGTGATCAAGAACATGACATTTGCATTTATCACAGGTCATCTATGTAAAGATCTTCTAAAAGAAATCAAACTCTAAATAGCTGTGCACACATACTGAAATGTTACTAATATGTACAATGAAGTTATATTAAAGATAAAATTTCAGGAGGTAAAAAATTCTAAGTAGGTTAAGACCGAATTTGCCTTTATGTGAAATATCTGTTATGACCTACTTTGTGTAAAAATCTAATAATCATAACATCTTCCCTACTACTCATAAGCACAGTCACAGTATAAACTCAGCTGATTGAGACCATTATCCCTGTTCATACAGAAACAACTTGAAAAGTAGTGTACAGCAGTACCACAATATAACTCATCCCAGGAGATGAAGCTGTTGCCAAAGGAATTCAGACTTCTGGCACCCGTTGTCTGTGCCCGAGAAATCACCACCCATTCACCAATTTTCACCTGTTATACTGGCAAATTGCCAGGTATCACAGTCAAGGGAATGAAAGCAATGTACCCAGCCAAGCTGTTAAATCATCTGTGCCGTGCGAAAGGATTTGCCTACTGGCAGCCATAAGCTTACACATCCTAGCCTGTCCTTTACAACACCACAGAGGCCATACTCAGTTCAAAACAAGAGTTCAGTATTGGACTTGCCACCTGAGTCAGTCTGAGCCATACATATTCAGCACAGTTAGATAGCAACTAGAGAACGAAGCCATTGCCTAAAGAATCTGAAACTCGGTGTCAAGAATTCGCATGCTAAAAAGAATATAGATGAGAAACGTCATGTAAAAGGCAGAAATGTCCTTTGCTGCTGTAATTTAATTTTAAAAAGTGAAAATTAACAAAAATTTTAAGGAGAATATTTTTCTCCTCCCTCTCCTTCTCACTTTTCAGTCCTTTTTTTTAATGCCAGTACAGGAGGCTTGAACTCAGGACCTCTCCAACTCACTTAGCTGGGCTTCTTGTGACCTTCCTTCCACCACATTATCAGATTTATCTGCCCACACTCCCTTTGAATTTGGATCCTCAGATCTCAGCCTTTCGAGTAGCTAGAATTAGAGATGTGAGAACCAGCACCTGACTCTGTCCTTATTATTAAGGGAGAGTTTTTTCTTCCGTTCATATTTTAGCTGAATAGTCTTAGTTGAAGGGAACTTAGGCTATTATATGTAAATAATGTGATCATTCTAAGGATGAATGAGAATTGACTGATAGTTTTTAGAAGCTTTTTAATATCTCTTATCAAGCTCTTATCTAGATGATTGTGCAACTTACACCTACATAGTAATATTTCCAAGATTTCCCACAAATAAGGAAGTAGGAGTTTTAAAAGAACAAGCCAAAAAAATATATACATTCTCAATGTTTCAGAGACTGACAAGACACCAGGTATCATTTTAGGCTCTGGCTCCAACAAACTTTGTCTTTGCCTGAACTTGGCATACAACATGGTCCCAGTTCAGAGCCCCTCAATCTGCATGAGAACATGAAAGAGTAAGCAAAGAAAAGAGTTCCCATTGTACCACCCACTTTAACATTGTAAAATTATCTCATAAGTTGACAGAGACTGCAGGGTAGGGGGTGATAAGTTGTATGTTGTATGTGTGTGTGTGTGTCTGTGTGTGTGTGTGTGTGTGTGTGTGTGTTGCCAGTCCTGAGACTAGAACTCAGGGCCTGGGCACTGTCCCTGAACTTCTTTTGCTCAAGATTAGCACTCTACCACTTGAGCCACAGTACCATTTCTGTCTTTTTCTGTTTATGTGGTACTGAAGAATTAAATCCAGGGCTTCAGGCATGCTAGGCGAGCACTCTACCACTGAGCAACATTCCCAGCCCTGATAAGTTGTTTTCTGGAGACTAAGTTTCAATTTAGCAAGAGTATGAAGAAGTTTTAGGGACTGAACATGATATAATTAATGTGAATACAATGTGCCTAATGTGAATATATATAAAACTTTATGTATATAATATATGCAGCATGACTATTCTCGACTATATATACTTAGACAATTTTAAGTTGGTAAATTTCACCTTGTATGTTTTTGGCTCTAGTAAAGAGTGTTAATGTATAAATGATTTTTTTCATCAGACTTTTCTATAAAGCCAACCCCACCTCTGAGGCATTGCTACCAGGACTCCCAATCCAAGGCTTACCCCCTTTCTACCCAACCGCTCCTAAATGTTATTCTTCAAACCTTTCCCTCTTTTCAAATCCCAATCTTTTCACTGCTAACCCCAGATGTTGCTGGGGAACTCAAAACTGTCCACAGGTCAGGAGGATTTCTGTCCTTAAAAGAAAGAGGACACCAGAAGACCCACACCTAGGAAACTTGGCAAGTAAACTTGTGTGTGAAGATAGGGTTCTCATCCCAATAGGTACGCTTGAGAACAAAAATATGAAAACATTTCGGTTTTATACTTATTATTTAAAAAACAGTACAGAGTAATGAGTTGTGTTGGATAAACATCCAAATACTCCCATTGCTCTATAACATTGTGTGTGTGTATGTGTGTGTGTGTGTGTGTGTGTGTGTGTGTGTAAGAGAGAGAGAGAGAGAGCACATTAGGTCCTTGCTGACTTATTGATGGTGGTTCTCTTGTACATTCCTATGACCTCACCAAATAAGAGGCCACCTGTGACCAGCATGTTCACTGAATAAAAGTTTGAGTACCAGCATGTTCACTGAATAAAAGTTTGAGTACTCCAAGTAGTTCACTCTTTTTTTTTCTTTTGGTTAGTTGTGGGGCTTGAACTCTGGACCTGGGCACTGTCCGTCAGATCTTCAGCTCATGGCAAGCACTTTACCACTTGAGCCACAGTGCCACTTCTGGTTTTCTGGTGGTTAATTGGAGATAAGAGTCTCATGGACTTTGCTGCCCAGGCTGGCTTTGAACCGTTATCCTCAGATCTCAGCCTCCTGAGTAGCTAGGATGACAAGTGTGAGCCACCAGCTAGTAGTTCACTCTCTATTATGGAATTTATAGGATTAAGTAGTGTGACATTTACAACACTGCCAATTGAGACCCTGTGTAACTC